CCATTAAGCGTGTTCTTTCACTATTTTATTCATTGCTAACCAACATACACGTGTTTAAAAAATTGGTTGGTCAAGTCTGTCAAGAAATGACGTACGCAAGACGCCCCCATATTTCCTGCCACGATCGCCCAATCCCTATTGGCTATCCACGATCACGTGATAGCTGTTATCTTAGGAATTCCGACCTATTTGAGTCGAAGGAGATGTAAACATGGCCGACTGTTATCACAATCGCTGTCTGTCAAGTTAGATAACGTACGAATTTTATGACGTACGCTAGTCTAAATCGTCCACAGCGGATTCCAATCAAGGATAAAGGTGTCGGCAATCGATTGAGCCTAATTAGTAAGTAATAAGGTATTTTGGCCGAAATATGGCCGAAATAAGGCCGGCGTCGTTTACATGGGCCGTTTTGGAATGTCAGATTTTTGACGGATTTCCAAGTCGTACGTCAGTTTTTGACGAACATTTCTTCCGTACGTCATGTATTTGATGGACATAATCATCTGTTTGACTTCATATGGTATAATTCCCATATTTATGGCGGTAATTGTACCAAATTGTAGCGTATAGATTGTCCTAACCGTCTTCATAGGCCTCTATATGCACTCTACATAGCATAATAGTTTCTAGTACGGTGTGTTAGACATTACCGATAATTTTCTTGGATCAATCAATTCATATTATATTAACACTGCTGATTATTATAGCCTTATAGTAGTAGGTAGTAGGCCATGTAGAAGTATTCTTATATTGTTAAAGTGAAATATATGCATATGACTGTACATCTTCTCAGAACTGATGATTTTGTGATAATTTGAAAATGTGTCCGTCAAACTAACGTATCCGGACAACTACCCACTGGACAATTACCCACCGGACAATTACCCCCCGGACAATTACCCACCAGGACAATTACCCACCCGGACAATTACCCACCCGGACAATTACCCACCCGGACAATTACCCACCCGGACAATTACCCACCAGGACAATTACCCACCAGGACGATTACCCACCAGGACAATTACCCACCAGGACAATTACCCACCAGGACAATTACCCACTAGGACAACTACCCCCCGGACAATTACCCACCCGGACAATTACCCACCAGGACAATTACCCACCCGGACAATTACCCACCAGGACAATTACTCACCTGGACAATTACCCACCAGGACAATTACCCCCACCTCGGACGATTACCCTAGCCCCCTCCCCCCACACACACACCGTACTGTAATGATGATTCATCTAATGGACCAACTTCATGATTTCATAATTTCAACTTCAACATTCGCTGATATACGGCCGATATTTTGACTTATTTGCGACATTTTCTGATACCCGAATTTGAAGTTCATATCGTCAAGTATCGGCCTTCA